GTTAGGGTGGAAAGAACAGGCATGGTGCCTGTAGGAACTAAACTTCATTAGAGGCAGAGTGATTTTGGGCTGGTTACAAAGTTACCCTTAACCCCTTGCTTCAGCCTTTAAATGTGTCATGAGGTTTCTGCTGCAAGAGGAAAGCTTGGCGAATGTCAGGGTCTGTTGCTGTGCCTACTTTATGAGTGAGGGAGGCTTTGGGAACCCCTGGGCCATGTTGAGAAAGCCAGGGTGGTCTCGGCACAAGGGACACTAGGAGAGGTCAGGCAGGAGGGATGTCCATGGTGATGTGAACTAAGACCTGAAGTGCAGTGCCAATTGCCCAGACTCATCATTTAGAGATGGGTCATGAATACTTCATGCATGGCCTTGGAAACAGGGCAGATTTCAGCTAGGCTGTGAGGGTGGGCAGAGCTCCAGGGACATATCGATGGTGTGCTCAGGAAACACTCTTGCCCACTCTTCAAGTCCTACCTGGGACCTTGTGCTCATCTCTCCAGTTCTGTAAGGATGGTTTAGCGTGGGTGTTTTTCAGCCAGAGGCATGGACAGAGCGACATTTTCCCACTGTAACCGCCTTGGCATGTCTCTGATGCTTGAGTTCAGATTTAATAGTTCAAGAACTACTCAATGCCCAGTCTTGGCGGAGAATTCCCAGTACTTGTCATTATCTGTCTGTAAATGTGAAGGCCCATTGTGGTGACAGACAATGGGAGCAAGATGTGGAGGGGCTGTGCACAGGTGATGAATGGGCAGCACATTTGGCTTTCTCATCTTCGGCCTCTGATCCTGTTACCTGGCTCCAAGCAAATGTCCCTACCTCCTTCCTATGCTTCTTGGCCGGTTCCTTTCAACATGAGTGCATGTACGGGGGTGGAGGGTTGGGATGGAGGTGATTTCTGGTGACTGCTGGGAGAGATGGTGGACAAACCGGCCCAAGTTCTGGAAGGTACGATTGGATTCCAAATGAAGGCGAGTTAGCACAGGTGTTGGCTAGCATACGGTCCTGTGGATGTATGAGTTTTCTTTCCAGCACAGGGAAGGTTGGGTCGTGGCTTCAGGGTCTACCTTTGGGTTGCTCTGGGAAGAACCTTCCCCTCAATAGACTTGAACTTCCCATGTTTGAATCTGGCTGGAACAAGAGGGAATCGCTCAGTACTTTTCTACTCGACTTCTTTTCCTGTGCCTTTTCCGTATTGCTTCATTTTTCCAGTCCTTCCTGCTCGGGCATCGTCAGAGGCATTCACACTCACCAGCCAGCTAGAAAACATGTGCATAATTGGCTATTTGTCTGCAGTCTGCTGGCCGTTTAAGCATCAGGCTCCTCATAGAACAGTCTGCTATGGAACCAGTTCTCCCAGCAAGCGTGCAAGTTTCTGCATGTGTGTGCCTGTCGTACCTGGACTTTCACACAGAGTTCCTTCGAGAACTGGGGTGCTGCCCTTTTTACAGGGGACCTGTGACTTGGGGGATGGTAGCTGTGGCCTTGGTTGCCAGGGAGGATCCCCCCCCCCCCTTACCTCCTACTTCCTTTCCTCTTTATCCACCCCTGACCCTAGGCTCAGTCCTCAAGGTTAATTTCCCTGACAGTGGCTGTGGCTCCATCCTTTTCTTCCTCCTCCTCCCTCATGTCTTTCCCACACACAGGCCTTTGAGTTATGTGCCTCCTGTTCTAAGGAGATAAACAACATCAGTCTCACGGGGCTCTGCTCTCCCCCCTGCCCCCTGTAAGTGCAACTGCAGGGTGGAATGTGCTGGTCCTATAAAGGGGCCCTGGTGCTTGCCAGTTTGTCAGGAAGGACGAGGAGAAGGGGGTAAAGAGCCCTAGGGAAGTGACAAGGTGGATTCAGAGCAAGGTCAAAAGAGAGGCATGCTTCCATCCTGGCAGCTGAAGAGCCAAGCAGTGTCATGGGCAAGGTTGTCTGGCACGTGGGCACAGGGTCCAAGACTCATCTATATCAGCTAGCTTGTGAGGGTCAGCAACTGACACACCTGTCCACTCCTCATGGTTGCAGAGAGACCCCTCTTGAACATCAGTTAATTTCCACCATATTCCCCTGAGGCAGGCATTATGGGTGGCCTGCTCGCAGAGTGAGAGGCAGGCTCTGGTAGGGTCTGTGGTCTTTCCTTTTCCTTTCCTTTCCTTTCCTTTCCTTTCCTTTCCTTTCCTTTCCTT